TGTATCCTGAATTTTAGCTGGAGAGCACTGGCAGAATAGATTAAGCCCGAATGACCTGTAACAGAAAGAAGAGATTCCGGCGGTGGTTCGTCCACCCGGGGGCACTCCGACGATCAATTCAGTTATCTCTCAAAGATATCAAAAATGCTTAGCTCACTATTCAGAATATAAATTGCGTACCTTAGACCCATTGGGGGTGCCTCTCTTTTATAGCCCACTCAATCCTAGTCCCAATAGAAGCCTAGCTTTAATGGACTTCAGCTCAGTGCTTATCCTGGCCTCTTCAATAGATAAAGATAAACTCCCTAAGAGCTTTATCCTTATCCAGGCTGAGTTCCTTCCTCATTCTAGGACTCTTGTCCCTTATCCTCTTATCTCGGACTCCGATATCTTCAGAGATAACCTTGGCGTAGCCGAGATCACCTTGGCGTCACGACCAGGACATGGGGCACCTCGGCTGACACTTCGGCGTCACCTTGGCCATGTGTTGGTACGCAGAAAATATGTCCCCACACTCTATGATTAGGATCTTCTCATGTTTCTCAAATTCATTTTTTGGATTTACAATCTAAAATACACAGTTTGCCTATACAATCAATTCTGACATTGCTTCCCTATTTTGCATTTTTTTTAAACTTGTATTCTTCTTTATCCATCAGTCTATGAACCCTGATATTTTTGTTTAAAAAAAAATACTCTACATTGTTTTTGTTCTTATATGGCTCTCGGACTCTTGCAACACATTTTTTTTCAACATAACCTGCCATAAAGTTAGTCCTATTTTTTTTGTTATGTTTACATCCTCCGCACCACTGGATTTCAATGCTTTCCACTTTTGACTGCCCTATATTTTTTTATTTTTGCCAAAATGGTTGTTCTGTTTTCTTTTCACATAGATATGGCTCCTCACACTAAGAAACCTTGAGCCAAAGAGGAAGGTCAGTCTTCACATCCTGCACGTGAATATCCAACTGCTGACTTCCTCACTCCAGTCAGAGAGCAAGCATTTGGCGCCATGTCATCCCGTTCCATCATTATAGGTCGCCGAGTTACTCTTGCCCCCAAGTATGATGCTCTCCTAATAACTAAACTTGAAACAATGGGTTGGCAAAATTTGGTAAATTTGTCGAAAAAGGTATATCCTCGTTTCGTCGCCTTATTTTATGTACACCTTCAAGCTACTGCTATTGACGAGGAAGCATACACCTGTAGCTCTTATGTGAACAACACTTATATTGAGTTTAATGTTAACACTTTGGCCACTATTCTCAATGTTGACACGAGTCCTCACCAAATTTATTTCCAAACCGAGGCACAAATGACTCAAATTGTGGATAATGTAACTGAAGTTTATACAACCATCTGTATTAGCAAAACCACTGGGTCCCACCTTCAAGCCAAACACCTTAAACCTTATGTCCGAATTCTCCACCGCTTTGAAATATATGATTTAACGGTGTTTATTTAACGGCGTTTTTTTAAACGTCACTATTTCTAACATTTAATGACGTTTTATAAACGTCATATTTTATTTTAATTAAAACGGTACCGTTTAAGTAATCCAAGTCGTTTGAAAAGCGCCTCCAAATGTGTTTCTCTCTCTCTTCAAACCCTCCAATCTCTCACCAACGTATTTGAATCTGAGAAACCCTAGAGTCTTAGAGAAACCGATCCCTCAAATCTCTCACTCGTTCTCTCTCTCTCTCTAAACCCTTCAGCTCCTTCAACTCAATTCAACTTTCTTCACTCGGTGATTCATCATTCGGTCGATCCAATCTCAGAATGATTTTGATTTCGAAGCTCCACCGCCACCGCCGCCGCCACCGCCATCTACATCTGCATCGTCTACTAACCATCTGCACGATTTTGATTTCAATCTAATCTCAGTTTCTTCGATTCTTCTCTCTCTCTCTCTCTCTCTCTCGATCTCTGCGTCTCTCTGTCTCCCTCTCTCTCGATCTCTCAATCTCTCTCTCGATCTCATTTTCTCTCGCACAATCTCGTTTCTGCGTACACATTATCTGTACTTTTTTTTGGATAATTTTTTTCTCCTAAAAATCTCTCTATACAAGTATATATATGAATTTTTATATGTATCTCTATGTATTAATTAAATAATCATCCTTATTTTGTTTTCAGGCTCTCGAATGATCCAATCGTTGATCGGCAGTGACGGAAAAAATTAACTCCTGTGAGAAAAGAAACCCTAACTTTCTCATTGGAGGTAAGTTCTAATATATTTGTTTACATGTTTGTTCTGCTTTTGATCTTGTTTAGATTTGTATTGAACAACTCTGTTTAGATTTGTTTACTCAATATACTGATGAGAATCTACTTGAATTTGGTTTCTCTTACTTTTTTGGAGCTATATTCTTTTGTTTATAATGCTTCTAAATATGAGGATACATTCACCATTATGTCAATTTCTATGTATCAAAATATATTTTGGTTTATTTAGATGATAAACATTAATTGGAGAACTCAGTAGTGATTCGCAGTCTGTCTATTGGTTAATTTGGGTATTGACTTAAATTTGATTTTTTTTTCCATTTATCTTTCGTTATATTTAGAAATTGGAACTAAAAATAATTTAGAAATTGGAAGGAAATAATCAAAACAAAACAAAAAACAAAACTTATCCACAAACACACACACACAAAAAAAAAGGAAAAAAAGAAAAAAAAAAATTGACAGATGTAGGAACTTGTTTAATAGGGATTGTTATTCTTCTCTGTTGCATTTCATTTATGAAGTTTGATTTCAAAATTGTATGTTCTGTGCATAGTAGCCAGTAGTAACTACTTGACGTCATATATGGCCAATAATTCTATTGGTACAAATTCTTAAGAAACCTAAGGTTTAGGCCGCATTCCCCCTAACAAAGAGTCTCAAGTTTGAATCTCCTTAAGACGAAAACAGCTATATTCTCTTTCAATTATCATATTCTGATATTATAATCTACTTCTCCCAAACCCCCATCTAACAGAGACTAACTGGGCATACTTTTTTATATTATATTTCAACCCAAATAGCCAGTAGTCAACAGAAATTGCATTATAATTGGGAAATTCTCAATAATAAATTAACAATGCTAAAGAAAGAAGGATAATGTAAAATGCTAAGCTAGTAATCAGGGGCCAAAGTTTCTTATTAATGTTTATGCCTAACATCTCAATGTCAAGGCATGTATTGCATGCTTTGACTGCCCCCCTTTGAAGCTGTGAGAATTAGAAATAAGTGTCTACAGTTGAACCTCGCCTCAAGAGCAGACTCATGTGATGAAACAACGCCCCAAAAGAGTCACTACCAAAATGCCGCATTTATAAGCTCATTTATTATCAAGACATATGGCTCACTTGTAATTTGATAGTTGCACTGAAATTATAGTTTGTCTAGTGAACTAGAGAACTCCAATGGTCTACAATGGAAGATGATGAAGCTGTAATATACGTATGTATATTGTACCTACCCACTCTACGACTTCATGTTAATGGACTAAAACATGATATCCTCTCTTACATACAGAGCTAAAATATTTGATCATCATTTTTTCTTCGGATCTAATTCGAAAATACGGAGAGAAAAAAAATAGTGCTTGCATATATTATAATTATTGTATATAATATATATACGTTATAAAAAAATAATTGTAGTATTGTTTAGTGTCTTGATACAAAAAACAGACAAGCAACAACTGCAGAGGTTTTCCAATGCATGCAAAGGAATTCCACAGGTACAAAAAACATTCGGAGTGAATGTTGTTGTTTCATGTTGTGCATAGAGCAGTGACAAATTGATGCATAGTAATCACAGAGAAAATTATGTTGGCGTAAAGTACTAAGAAAGTTTTTTTAAAAATAAAAATAAACCATAACGGCATAAATGAATTCTTGCACACACACACACACACACAAAAAGTGAGTCCGAAGTTGTCGGATCCAAATAATGTATACGCAGTTTAAGTTCACTGTCTACTGACTTGTGCCCTGGCTGTGATAACTATAAATTTACAGTGCTTTGGTTTTTTTTCTGAAGTTTCAATTCCCTTCAAAGTCTTTTGTACTTTTCTTGATTTTTTTACTAGAGAATATTGAGTTTGACTTTTCAGTTTTTCCATGTACATCAGAAAACCTGCAAATTATGAATTTGATTAACCATTTGATTTTCATGAGATACTTATTACTTGCTCATCCAAAATAAATATAAAAATGAAATACTTATTTTCATTATTTTCAGTCAGCTATATTCATTATTTTCAAAGATTATCGCAATTCCTTTTTAACATGCAGAAGTATGAGGGTTATCCATCTGGTTCAATGGTTGACTTCGCTTGTGATGCCTATGGATCTCCAATATTAGCAATCAGCAGCTTGGCAGTTCATACCAAGGTTGGCAAAATTTTGAATTTTGTTATCATATGTGTACTAATTGGATAATATATATATATATATATATATATCTTGAAAATTGTTCTAAATGGCAGCATCCAAAGAGAGGCCTTGATGTGCACGAATGTGAATTGTCTCTCTCTTTGGTTCACAAGGACAGGTAGAATGACAATCGAAGTTTAGCTGTACAGTTACAGGAGCTTGTAAATTTTATATTCCTACTCAATTCCTGTTTAGCTGTTTGTTAAGAGACAGCAAAAGTAATGCTGAATGCTCTTTGGAATAGAAAATTCTTAAATTTTGGTTATTAGGATTAGTTTTTCTGGTGATGCTTGGGAGGTAAATTTATTTTTGAATTTATTATTTTTAAATGCACCTTCTTATATTTTAGTGATAAACTTGATATGCATTTATTTAATTTAAGTTGTTTTATTGAGCATATAGTCCTTAAAAAGGCGAAATGGCGAAAAAGGATTCATGTAGCCGACCATTACTTGATTAAGATACATGGTTTAGTTTGGTTTGGTTTGGAGTCTTTTTGAATGTGCCTTCTTATATGTTAGTGATAAGCTCGATAAGTTGAAATTCAGAATATTGTAATCACTTAATTTTTCGTTAGCACAGGTGTCCTGTCTGTATTCTTTTTCCTTATTAGCATAGGACTTCAAAACTTTGCTATGAAATACTTGCAGCATTTTTTATATTTAAATTTTTTTTTAGGATCTTCTAGTTTATGGAAAGTTACTTAATTAGTTGATACTCGCTGTTTTTTGCAGGACCTTGTAGCTAATCCAAAATGCTCTTTGCTTGTAGCAAAAGATCCTGAGGATAGGACTGATTTAATTATAACCCTGCACCGTGATGTTGTTTCTGTATGTTAATGACTTCTGATTTTTGGATGATGTGTCATTCTGATCTCGATTGCTACTTCTGTTAGTCTACTCTCAATGCATTCTATCCCCCTTTGAACTCAATTAGAGCACTTAAATTCAAATATATTTTTTGTTTTGATAAACAATGCAGGTCTCTGAAAATGATAGAGAAGCTATCAATACTGCATACTTGGCAAGGCATCCAATGCATTCTGGGTAACTTTTTTGGCCACTTGTTTTTTAGCATGCATGCCTAAATCTAATTCTTTACTCTTTAAAATTTCAGCAAAATATATGATGATTGAACATTAACATATGGTTAGATCAGATTCAGTAGTAAAAAAACTGATGCAATACTTTTTATAAAAGATGACCTACCTAAAATAAGTATCGTAGATGTGTTGGACAGAATTACCTTGTATGTATTCACACCATCATCAACTGCTCTTTCAAGGTCATCTAATATACTATCGGTACTTCCTCATAGGACCACAGTGCATACAAAGTTTCCACTTTCTTCATTTCTCACAATGGTGACCTATTATTTATTAGATATAAAGATCATGTTGGGGAAGAAGATGAAGAAACGTAAGGAAAAAGCCCAAAAAAATAAAACCAAAAGCAGCTTGATCATACCCTAACCAAAAGCAGCATCTTCTCTTATCTAGAAAGAAAAACCACACAAAAAACTTAAGCAAACCACATAACCATTTCACAAAAATTCAAACAACATAATTGACATAACAGCTTTACCTGGAGGTTTCTTTGGCTTGGATCCAACAAATCAGTGATTTGTTCATTGTAAATCTGTACATACCAATTTTAAAGGATTAAGTAAATCTAGAAATTAACCTAAAATGTTCATATTTATGTCAAGTAATAAATCCAATTACTTAACCTCAAGAAAAGAACAGCGGCATTGATACATGAGTTGCTTGTCAGCATGCTTAATTTGCTCCTATGATTAAAAAAAGGGTTAAACAAAAAAAAGCACAAAAATTATAAGAATGTTGCCATCAACAAGTTAGATAGTGAAAAGAATATAATCACACCTCATTTATGCAGGCAAAAAGGAAATTTGTCAGCTTCTATAACACCACCACTTCCTAACTGCCAAAGAAAAAAATTTGTTCCAAAAAAAGTTTTGATAATTTATTTAAATTCTCAAAAATTTTTTTGGAACAAATTTTTTTCTTTGGCAGTTAGGAAGTGGTGGTGTTATAGAAGCTGACAAATTTCCTTTTTGCCTGTATAAATGAGGTGTGATTATATTCTTTTCACTATCTAACTTGTTGATGGCAACATTCTTATAATTTTTGTGCTTTTTTTTGTTTAACCCTTTTTTTAATCATAGGAGCAAATTAAGCATGTTGACAAGCAACTCATGTATCAATGCCGCTGTTCTTTTCTTGAGGTTAAGTAATTGGATTTATTACTTGACATAAATATGAACATTTTAGGTTAATTTCTAGATTTACTTAATCCTTTAAAATTGGTATGTACAGATTTACAATGAACAAATCACTGATTTGTTGGATCCAAGCCAAAGAAACCTCCAGGTAAAGTTGTTATGTCAATTATGTTGTTTGAATTTTTGTGAAATGGTTATGTGGTTTGCTTAAGTTTTTTGTGTGGTTTTTCTTTCTAGATAAGAGAAGATGCTGCTTTTGGTTAGGGTATGATCAAGCTGCTTTTGGTTTTATTTTTTTGGGCTTTTTCCTTACGTTTCTTCATCTTCTTCCCCAACATGATCTTTATATCTAATAAATAATAGGTCACCATTGTGAGAAATGAAGAAAGTGGAAACTTTGTATGCACCGTGGTCCTATGAGGAAGTATCGATAGTATATTAGATGACCTTGAAAGAGCAGTTGATGATGGTGTGAATACATACAAGGTAATTTTGTCCAATACATCTACGATACTTATTTTAGGTAGGTCATCTTTTATAAAAAGTATTGCATCAGTTTCTACTGGACCTTAAGAAGCTAATCTGAATGTGGCTTTATGCATCTTTGTGCTAGGCAATGTGCAGGGACAGTTGTATAGTACCTGGAGCTGCAGCTACTGAAATTGAGTTGGCTCGAAAACTGAAGGAGTTTTCTTTTAAGGAAACAGGGTACGTAGTTTCCTCTCTCTCCATAAATAGATAGATATGATGCATGGGTATATTATGAGATATGCCATGTTGAGATATGTTATCAACCATGAAATGATTAATATTGTAAGAACGCCTCAAGATACTCCAACATATATTTCAATTCCCCGATTAAATGATGTAATTGTTGTGTGTGGGGAAACCTTGGAGGTGGAGATGGGGGTTTGTTACTTTGTTTTTTTGTTTATGTATAGGGTCCTGAATTAGTTAAAGAGGCAATGACTCTTGTAATCTTCCTCTATTGAGAGAAGTTTTACCTTATGGCACTTTTTGTTGTCAAAATTATCTTTTGATCATTTTTTTGCAGATGTTTACACCACAAAGATGTTTCAGCTACTGCTAGCTGCTTATTCAACAATAAGCATTCAAGATGCTTCTCTCTTCTTGGGAATGAATGAGGATGATGCTACAAACTGTAAGTTTCTAGTCTTTCTTGTGTTTTGCCTTGCAACAGCAGTACTTATCTGAATCAGAATTGTATTTTATGGGGTACACGGTGAAATTTAGGCCTTGTTTGGTTTGTGTTTTAAGATATTATTCTAAAAATAATTTTCTGGAGGGAGTTAGAAAATTTAAAAAATTGTTTGGTTGTATATTTTGAAAGGAAAATGAGTGGGAGCACTAATTAGTGCCACCACTAATGATGTGGCAGTGGGTATAGTGTTGTTGTGTCTTTTTTTTTTTTTTAAATGGATGCCACATCATTAGTGGTTGCTTTAGAGCACCACTTTTAGTGGTCTCTATCATTGCCCATTTTGAAAATAGTTATAGAGTTTGGGATAATTTAGAAAATTTAATAATTTGTTTTCTTTAGGCATGTTTGTTCCAATTTGCTCATAGTAGCTTTAGGCATCTTTTTCTTTTCCTTTTATGTTATTTTGTATAATTTTTACTTTCTATAATTTATTTCTTTTTAATCAAAGTATAGGAATTTAGTTGGATTTGCATCTTTTATTGAATTGGGCTTGTACACTTGTTTAAATGGGTATTTCAAGCTTCAATAATCTTGTATTCTCTTTCCTGTTTTTTTATGGGTTTTGTAGCCTCTTGCCTGGATTCGAGTTCATGAATACCCTTTCTTGTGTGAAATTGATCATACGTTGAAGAAATTGTTGGCAATTTTTGCAATTTTTTTAGAAAGAATGGTGTTTTGCTGAATTGGAGAGCATCAGGTGGTGACATCAATTATTTTTTTTATTGTCAATTAAAGTTCTAGATTTGTTCATCATAGACCTGTTCAACATTGGCCCAGATTTTTGGTTGGATTCAAATTTGAATAGCATTTTTATTTTTATTTTTATTTTTTCTTTATATGTATTTAGTGCTTCTTGGTATGTGATAAAATCTTCTTGTTAGTGCTTCTTCAAGTTTTAAGTACTATTTATAAGTATTGGGTACGAATTCTTCAATTTGTGTTTATTTTGGTGAATCTCATTACAGTTTATGTTATGATGCAGATATGTAGACTAGTGAAGACTACAACTTTAATGCTAAGACATGATTTTTGTATATATGTTAGTTTGTGGTTAATGTTAAGACATGATTTTTGGATATATGTTAGTTTGTGGTTAACGTTTTGGATTTTGGATATGTTAATTTTGTGGGTAATGGTGATTGGATATTAATTGAATGAGAAAGTGAATTAATGCTTCATTACAACTATTTGAATGGGAGTTGTTATTTTATATTAGTGCTATTATAGATATTTTTTTAGTTCAATCAAATAAAATTAGTACAATTTCCAAAAAAAAAAAAAAGGATATGACGGCGTTTTTACAAACGCCTCTTAAACCTTACATATTAACGGTCATATTTGTTTAAAAAGATAGGACGGCGTTTTTCAAAAAACGTCGCTAAATATTGTCAGTGACGTCAGCGTGTGTTTAGGAGGACATTTGGCGGCGTTTTTAAAAATGCCGCCTATACTAATATCACGACGTTTTTAAAACGTCATAAAGCTATAGCGACGGCCGCGTCCTCGGCGTTTGGTGCTAAGCGTCACAAAAAGAATTGGTGGCGTTTTTGGCACTTTTAGCGGCGTTTTTTAAACGCCACTAAAAGCTGAATTTCCTGCAGTGGCCTCTTGAAAAGAGATGGGATTGACCGGTAATGGATCGGGTTGTTTAATATTATGTTGTAACATTGTTGAAAATGGAGAAAACCTGTTTTTGAAAAACTTGTGTTTAATTTCGGGGACGAAATTCTTTAAGGGGGGGAGGTTATAGCGATCCCGGTTGTCCCTTTACTGTTCTGTTGTATTCCAGACTCGGTTCCGTGATGTTGGTGGTGGTATACCTTGTTGTCATCCTTTAATTCCACTTGATTGAGTTTTAGGATGTATTGGGCAGAGTTGTTACAGGTTGGTTAGGATTTGGTTTCAATTCTTCGTTGCCCAGTTTTTAGGAGGTCCGCTCGAGCGGGTCTTCTTGCGCTCGAGCGGAGATTGCACGCTCCCAGTATTTTGGATGCTCTACAGAACTTCTGCAGGCATGTTTTTTACGCTCGAGTGGATTTCTTTATGCTCAAGTGATGGCGCTCGAGCGGGTATTCTGGCGCTCGAGCGGGTAGTACTTTTTGGTGTAAGTTCTAGGAGGGGGAAATCTACGCTCGAGCGGACTGGTTTTCGTGCTCGAGCGGGCCTTATTTCGCTCGAGCGGACCTAGTTTTTTGCTCTTGACGCTCGAGCGTTATGTTCTCCGCTCAAGCGGGAATGTCGTATATCAGTTGGCAGCTGGGCATTTTAAAATCACTTTTTACATTCTCTCTCTCTCTCCTACTTTCTAAAAAGACATTTTGGAGGAGTTCCTCTCTCTAGAAACCCCTTCTCTCTAGGGTTGTGATCTAGTTAGATGTTTCCTTTTCCTTCGGCCTTTGTAAAGTTGGCGTTGATCGTCGAGGCTACACATTGTCCGAGAATATTGAGTTTTGGAGCACGTTGAGTTGTCTTCACCTTCTTTCCTTGCAGCTTCGGAATTTGAGGTTAGGATTCCACTCACTCTTATGGGTTTAACCTAGATTTTGAGCTTATTGTTTAAATGGTTGATTTTGACTTAGGGTTCAAAATGTAGTTAAAGAGGGTTTTGATTTGGGCTCATAATATGTATTTTGGGTTTTTCAAAATGGTGTTATGATGTTGTTGTTGATTATTTAGACCATTGGTCAATATTGGGAAATAGGGTAGAAAACCCCCCTTTTAAATTGGTTGTAAAATTAATGGTATGATTAATTGGGAAATTGTGCGTATATGGAATTTGCAGTTTGAAATAATGGAAATTGGTTCAACATTATATGGTTGAAAGTTGGAGTTAGATCTTATTAATCGCTTCCACTTTTTGAAAACATTTGTACTTTTATCTGTTGGAGCTTTTATTATCTATTTAGAAATAATTGCTTGGGCTATTGGTGGAGTGTAGTTTTGATTGTTGTAGACAATGCATAAATGATTAGGCAAACTGAAACTAATCAATTGGGAATGTCATAGAGTATGACGGCTGATAGAATACATTAACGTTATGTATTGAATGATTGTGATATGACCTTTTGTTGATATTACGTGTGATGTGGAGGCAGATAGTGGATGTACTCCACGCGGTTTAGGGAAGATAGGGTAATGTACCTCTAAACCGGATGTTGTTTGGGAGGAGATAGGGGAGGACTCCACTGATATCCGCTCATATTGCTTGTCAGATATTGTGTTGATATAGCTCATATGCTTATCTTTGGAAGTTGTTGATATAGGCTCATGTGCTTATTCTTTAGAAGCGTTGATATAGCTATTATGCCATATCTGTTGAAAGTGGATACAGCTGTGTGCTTCATCGTTTGAGCATGTTGATTACAAACTAGGTATGTTATCTAATTGTAAAAGGGAAATGTGTAATATGAGTCACGGTCTCATATAAAAGTGGTTGGCCAGGTTCTGAGGCCATTGATGTAAATTGTGAAATTGATAAGAAATGCGAAATTGAAATGAAACTGAACATGTGATCA